CCAGCCAGGCTGGAGTGCCCCGTATCTAGGGCGGGCCCTGCGGGACTGGAGCAGCCCTCTGCCCTGGCAACCAGGGAGCTGCTCCCGCCCCTGCTGGCTAACCAGAACTGGCAAGCAGCCCCCAGTGAGGATGGTGCTCACTAGTTAACCATTTACATCCCTTTTGGGAGAGGGCACGTGCCCCGCCGATGGGGGCTGGAGGCCAGGTATTCTCCACTGGGGGAAGGGAGGGCATGATTTAGGGGGGGCTCTTGATTCTCTAGGCACTTTACAGGCAAATGGCAGAGCTTCCAGGATTCAGCCAGGCAGCTCCGGTCTGATCCCCTCCCTGGGGGGTTATACTTACACCCCGAGCCGGACCCCGAGTAGAGATCGTCGATTTCATCATCTGCAAAGGGGTCGTCATCCCCTGACCCTTCCAGGTCCACAGGCCTCTCGTAGTTTTCGTTACGCCAGCGCTGTGCCTGGAAGCGAGCGGAGAAGAGAGCCACGCAAGGAAATTAGTAATGACAGCCTCCTACTGGCTGAGACCAGGGCCCCACTGTGCCAGGTGCTGCACAAACCCAGAGTCACAGACAGGCCCCATGCCAAAAAGCGATGCGCCGCAACCAGCGATGGGTGGGAGGAGGAGCAGAATGAGCTGGAAATAGAGTCCAGGACTCCTGAGGCCATGTCCAGTGCCCTACCCATTGGGCTACACTGCCACTCTCCCATTCCCCCTATGTTCTGGGCACACACAACTCCTGAGATCCTTAGGAGCTGCTGGCTGCTGCCCGTAGGGGGCAGGGCTTGTAACGAGCTGTAAACATTTCCAAAGTATCCGACAATAGCATAAGCCCAGTCTTCAATTTGACATGTAGGATCCCAAATATTATTGAGAGTCAAGGGGATTTAGGCTCTTAAATGCCCAAGTCACGTAGACTCCAAAGTCACTTTTGAAAATGTGCCCCAAGGTCTCTGTTTGGGGCTAGACTCTCTGTCTCTGGCTATAGCAATACTTTGCATTGTTCTTATCTCAGTAGCCTCCAAAACCTGCCAGGCGCTTTCCAAGCGCAGAGGGAGACGCAGCCCTTGCTCCACAAATAACGGTGTTTAAACGCTGTGCTATTTTCCAAGAGGACTCGGTATTAGTCACTAAGCTTCGCCGCAGACCAGACTGAATTGCACAGATCCCTTGGGAAATGCCCCGGGAAAAGGAGCGTGAGGGTTTGCAGGGGAGGGAGCAGACGTGCTCTGCAATGTATTAACTGGGATTATTAGAGGCTCAGAGGTCAAGGTCCCAGGCCCCTCCCTCTTCCTGCCAGTGTAGGCAAGGGGGGGTGGGCACAGCAAAGGGAAACTCACCACAGCTGGTCAGTTCCCCTGTGAATCTGCCCTGGAGCTGCAGACGCAGAGCATGGGGGCGCCGAGGGGCCTTGCGACAGCCAAGTGAGGGCCGCAGGGCTTGCTGGCAGACAGGAGACCTGGTGGGGGACGCGGAGCCTGGCTGCTCCACTGAACAAGGCCCCTTCCGAGGGCTCAGGGGAGCAGAGCCACACAGGCATCATCCCCCAGGAAGGGCCCCTGAGCGAGAGGCAGCACCGGGGCCTCCCGAGCCCTTCTCTGCAGAGGCACAACCCAAAGGTCGGGTGGGAGGCCATGAGAGCGCAGCCCCCGCCCCCGAGCACAGCGCGGGCAGGGGGCTGTTCCGCGAGGCCTCTCCTTGACTGGGAACAGGAGCGCCCCGGGGCGCAGCGGCACATCCTTGGCCCAAGGACAGGGACCGGCGCAGCCCCTGCACACCTCCGCGCCTCTCGCTGGGCACCACTCTGAGCCCAGGCCTGGAGGAGCCGAGACCTGAGCCCCAGCAGCCAGGGGGCGACTCTCCCTCCGCACCTGGGGGCCAGGCGGGTCAGGTTTCCCGGCACGACGCACGGGAACCAGAAGCAGAGTTTAGTTTCCAGGAGCCAGCGGGGCTTTGCCCACAATGGGCTCATCGACTGACATGCCCCATCGCCATGGGCACCGGGTGAAAGGCCAGCTGGGGAAGACACGTCCCCACCCCGCCCCCTTCCACCCGAGGCCACGCCCACTCCCAGCCCAATTATTCCGGGCCATGTGGCGAGCTGCAGCGGCCATGCTGCTGCGCGGTGGCTCATTGCTCCCTGGCGGGGGGGCTGAGCCCCAGCCTTAGGCAGTCGGGCGAAGAGCAGTTTGGGGAAGGCTGTGCCTTCTCTTGCCTGCATTCCCGCCCGCCCGTGCCCGTCTCCGTTCCTGGCACTGGCTGTACCTGTCTGCCATGGTGCCAGGCCTAGTGGCATCCATCCTGCTGCGCACTGCAGGGGAAGGGGGAATGTGGCTAATGATCTCTGCAAGGGAATGGCCTGTCCGAATACAATGCCTGTTTTCTCCCACTGCCAGCATCCTTGTGCGGGAGCTAGAAACTCTCCTGTCCCTGGGCCCCAGCACATTCAAGCTGCTCACAATTGCCCTTGTCGTCGGAGGGTGTCCCACAGAGCCTGTGTGAATGGATCCCCTGAGGGCAGGGAAATGGGGCTGCAAGCAAGCACCCTGGGACATGGGTTGTCTGGCTGCTATTTGGAGCAGGGGGTGGCATGCTAGAACTGCTGGACTCTGTACCCCTTTGGACACTGACATGCCATGTGTCCTTGGGAAAGTCACTTAGCTTCTCCATGCCTCCGTTTCTCCCTTTGTATCATGCAAATAATATTTTAATGAACTGATAGTTCTCAAGAAATGCCTCTTAAAGCTCCCATGGAGATTGTAGGAATACAATTCAGTCAGCCTACTCTGTAAATACAGGCCCGATAGTTGGACTAAACAAGAATTGCCATCTGTTTGTAGCAGTACAGGGCTTATGGCACATAGCAGAGCCGCTCTACTTCCACCCAGTAGAGGGCAGTAGCACATACACTCACTAGTCGTGTGCTACAGGAGAAACCCGTTTCATGGTGTGTTGTAAGTCTTCATTACTTTAAACTAGGTTCGACGGGGGCAGGTGAGCAAAGCCCACAGGTAAGTGCTGCATGTGCGGGACTGGGAGATGGGTTGGAAATGGGGGGGACTATGGCCTATAATGGCAAGGAGAAAGGAAGGTCAGGGCACAACAGGGAGGCAAGATCAAATCAGTATCTTAGATGCCTATATACAAATGCGAGAAGTATGGGTAATAAGCAGGAAGAACTGGAATTGCTAACCAATAAATACAACTATGATATCATTGGTATTACAGAAACCTGGTGGGATGGGACGCATGATTGGAATATTGGTATGGAAGGGTACGGCTTGCTCAGGAAGGACAGACAGGGAAAAAAGGGAGGAGGGGTTGCCTTGTATATTAAAAATGTACACACTTGGACTGAAGTGGAGATGAACGTAGGAGATAGCTGTGTAGAGAGTCTCTGGGTTAAGCTAAAAGGGGTAAAAAACGAGGGTGATATCATGCTAGGAGTCTACTACAGGCCACCTAGCCAGGTGGAAGAGGTGGATGAGGCCTTTTTTAAACAATTAACAAAACTATCCAAAGCCCAAGATTTGGTGGTGATGGGGGACTTCAACTATCCAGACATATGTTGGGAAACTAACACAGCGAGGCACAGGCTATCCAATAAGTTTCTGGACTGCATTGGAGACAACTTTCTGTTTCAGAAGGTTGAAAAAGCTACCAGAGGAGAAGCTGTTCTGGATTTGGTTTTAACAAATAGGGAGGAACTAGTTGAGAACTTGAAAGTGGAAGACAGTATAGGGGACAGTGATCACGAAATAATAGAGTTCATGATCTTAAGGAAAGGTAGAAGGGAGACCAGCACAATTGAGGTAATGGATTTCAGGAAGGCAGATTTTGATAAGCTCAGAGAACTTGTAGGTAAGGTCCCATGGGAAGCAAGACTGAAGGGAAAAACAACTGAGGAGAGTTGGAAGTATTTCAAAGGGACGTTGTTAAGGGCCCAAAAGCAAACAATTCCGCTGTGTAGGAAAGATAGAAAATATGGCAAAAGACCAGCTTGGCTTAACAAGGAGATCTTGCACGATCTCAAAATAAAAAAGGAGTCATATAAAAAATGGAAACTAGGACAACTAACAAAGGATGAATATAGGCAAGCAACACGGGAATGCAGGGGCAAGATTAGAAAGGCAAAGGCACAAAATGAGATCAAACTAGCTACAGGCATAAAGGGAAACAAGAAGACCTTTTATAAATACATTAAAAGCAAGAGGAAGACCAAGGACAGGGTAGGCCCACTGCTTAGCGAGGAGGGAGAAGCAGTAACAGGGAACTTGGAAATGGCGGAGATGCTCAATGACTTCTTTGTTTCGGTCTTCACCGAGAAGTCTGGAGGTGTGCCTAACGTAGTGAATACAAGCAGAGAGAGGGTAAGTTTAGAAGATAGGATACACAAAGAACAAGTTAAAAATCACTTAGGAAAGTTAGATGTCAGCAAGTCACCAGGTCCTGATGAAATGCATCCCAGGATACTCAAGGAGCTGATAGAGGAGGTATCTGAGCCTTTAGCTATGATCTTTGAAAAATCATGGCAGACAGGGGAGATTCCAGAAGACTGGAAAAGGGCAAATATTGTGCCCATCTATAAAAAGGGGAATAAGAACAACCCAGGAAACTACAGACCGGTCAGTTTAACGTCTGTCCCAGGGAAGATAATGGAGCAGGTAATTAAGGAAATCATATGCAAACACTTGGAAGGTAATAAAGTGATAGGGAATAGCCAGCATGGGTTTGTGAAGAACAAGTCATGCCAAACTAATCTGATAGCTTTCTTTGATAAGATAACGAGCCTTGTGGATAAGGGAGAAGCGGTGGATGTCATATACCTAGACTTTAGTAAGGCATTTGATACGGTCTCGCATGATATTCTTATTGATAAACTAGGCAAATATAACTTAGATAGGGCCACGATAAGGTGGGTGCATAATTGGCTGGATAACCGTAGTCAGAGAGTTGTTGTTAACGGTTCTAAATCCTGCTGGAAAGGGATAACAAGTGGAGTTCCTCAAGGGTCTGTTTTGGGACCCATACTGTTCAACATCTTCATCAATGATGTAGATATTGGGATAGAGAGTACGCTTATTAAGTTTGCAGATGATACCAAACTGGGTGGGGTTGCAACTTCTTTGGAGGATAGGGACATAATTCAAAATGACCTTAGCAAGTTAGAGAAATGGTCAGAGGTAAACAGGATGAGGTTTAATAAAGAGAAATGCAAAGTGCTCCACTTAGGAAGGAACAATCAGTTCCATACATACAAGATGGGAAGCGACTGTCTAGGAAGGAGCATGGCAGAAAGGGATCTAGGGGTCATAGTGGACCACAAGTTGAATATGAGTCAACAGTGTGATGCTGTTGCAAAAAAAGCAAATATGATTCTAGGTTGTATCAACAGGTGTGTTGTAAGCAAAACTCGTGAAGTCATTCTGCCGCTCTACTCTGCACTAGTTAGGCCTCAGC